AAACATTTTGAAAACTACACAAACAAAAGTAGACAAAATAGCTATTGAGACATACTAACAATTAAAAAAGAGTAAAAAAGGAACTCAGATTGGGATATAATCTTTTGCAATGACACATCAAACAAGTGACTAATTTCTAAAATGTATAGGAAACTACAACACTTCTACAAGAAAAAGACAAATAATGCAATTTAAAAATGGGCACATGACATGAATAGACATTTCACCAAAGTGGAGATCTGGGCAGCCAACAAACATGAAGAAATGTTCATGACCACTAGCCATTAGAGAAATGTAAATCAAAACAACAATGAGGTATCATCTCACATCAGCAATAATAGCAAAGATTAAAAAAGTTGTTGTTGTTAGGTACCACCAGCTCAACACCGACTCATAGCGATCTTATGCACAGCAGAATGAAACACTGCCTGATCCTGGGCTAACCTCACTTCAGTTGCCTCGCTTGAGTCCATGGATGCTGCCACTTGGCTGTCTTTTGAATCCTGGATTCCCTGGCATACCATTATAAAATAAACACTTGAGGGGAAGAGAAAGGAATCGCCATAAATATAATCATGTTTTCTGCCTATAACTGATTGGAATACCTAAAATGGGTCTACAACTTGTCCAGTGAAGGAGGCTTCCTGCAGATCCTTTGTATTGCATAAGATCATAGGTGGAATCCTGAACCCCATCCAGAATCTTCTGAGGTAGGAAATCTCCAGTTGAAAGGACAACAGGTGAGCCACTAGAAGAAGAGAAGATAGTTCTTGAATGAAAGACCAACAGTAAAAAAAAACAACAGTAGTCCGACTGACTACTATAAGAACAAGCAAGTTGCTCGCCCAGAAAACATCAAGGCAAGTGGTCGGGTCCCCGCAAAGCAAACCCCCTTCCAACACTAAGACTCCAGGGGAATACACAGAAGACCTTGGGTTTGACTGGTGACCACATTGGTCACTGATAACGGGAATTGAGGGAAAAACAGCAATGAAGCTGTGAGCTAATTTTGACCAGTTAACCTGGGTTAAGACCTGGTTGGCTAGCAGTATGGCAAGACCCGGGGACTCCTTGACCCAGAGTCAGTGACATAGCCAGCCACAGAGGACTAGTGTGGAGAGTGAAGCATCCAGCTGATAAAAAGTGAGAGATATCCACAAGAATACACACACTTGCAAATAATACCCACTTGACCTGACTTCATGGCTGGATGAACAGAACTTCACTAGAAGAAGAAGAGGAAATAAAGAGTAATCTGATACAATTTGATGAACTTGACCTACACCTATGCTATGGATGCAGTAGCTCAAAGAGGGAACAAATCTTTACAGCGAGGATCATTCCCACCCCATCAATACACAGGGTAGACAGGGATGGGCAACTTGGATATTGGCTACCCAAAATGCGGGGGAGGCCACAAAAGCTTTCAAGAAGGAGCCTAGATCCAGAGGGTGCAGGACAAGGTAGAATCTCTACTGAGTAGTATCCAATCTGTCTGGACGGGGCTGATGAAAGGAGATGGAAATAGGACTCTTGTGGTACCATAGTAAATAATTGCTATCAAGACTGACTGTGAGGGTTGGAAATGTAAAGGTAAACATTTTGTAGCAAAAGGAGGGGATTGGCTAACTTTGCACTCCAGGAGCGGTGGTCCCTGAGACCATCAAGGGAGAAGAGCGAAGGTAGTGTGGGACCCAACTCAGAGAAACAGTGACACCAGAGATGGAGACAAAGACGATGATGTGGAGAGATGGAGCAACTGGGGACTCTAGACCCAGAAAGGGAGAGGGGCTGTGTGCTGACTACCAAGGGCAGGGTTGCGAGGTATACCCTTTGGTTGTCTGAGGATGCATGGAATGGATGTAATCATGGCAATGAAACGATATATGATAGGATGAATGTAAAGCTAATGTACTCCTATGTAAACTATCACATAATTCACAATTAAAAAATAAATAAAGTCCTTAACAACTTCAATCTTTTCTCCATTGATAAGAATGTTGTTTATTGGTCCAGTAGTGAGGATTTTGGTTTCTTTATATTGAGATGCAATCCATAGGCTGTGCTCTTTGATTTTCGTCAATAAGTATTTTAAGTCCTCTTCACTTTCAGCAACCGAGGTTGTATCATCTGTATATCTCAGGTTGTTAATGAGTCTTCCTCCAATCCTGATGCCACTTTTTCTTCATATAACTCAGCTTCTCAGATGATTTGCTCAGCAAACAGCTTGAATAAATATGGTGAAAGAATACAGCACTGTCACACACCTTTCTTAATTTTAAAACATTCAGTGTTCTCATGATCTGTTCGAACAACTGCCTCTTGGTACATGTATAGATTCCTCATGAGTACAATTAAGTGTTCAGGAATACTCATACATCACAATGTTGTCCATAGCTTGTCATGATCCACACAATCAAAAGTCTATGCATAGTCAATAAACACAGGTTTCTGGTCTTCTCTACTTTCAGCCAAGAATCATTGAACATCAGCAGTGATATCCCTCAATCTACGTCCTCTTCTGAATCTGGCTTTATCCTATGGAAGTTCTCTGTCAAGGTATGGTTGCAGCTGGTTCTGTATTAACTTTAGTAAAACTTTTCTCTCATGGGATATCAAAGATAATGTCAGATGAATTCTGCATTCTGTTGGGCCACCTCTCGTTGGAATGGGTACAAATACAGATCTATTCCAATCAGTTGGCCAGATAGTTGTCTTCCAAATTTCTTGGCAGAGATGAGTGAGTGCCTCCTGTGCTGCTTCACTTTCTTGAAAGATTTCAATTTTTATTCCATTAGTTGCTGGAACCTTGTTCCTTGCCAATTCCTTTAATGCCAATTGGATTTATTCTTTCAATATCAGTGGTTCCTGATATGTTACCTCTTGAAATGGTTGAACAGCAACAATTTCCGATTGGTACAGTGACTCTGTATTCTTTCCTTCTTCTTTTGATGTTTTCTGCACCATTCAATAATTTGCCCAGAGAATCCGTTAATAACAAAAGTCAAGGCTTGAATTTTTTCTTCAGCTCCTCCAACTTGAGAAATGCTGAGCAAGTTCTTCCCTTTTGGTTTTCTGACTCCAGAACTTTGCACATTTCATTGTAGTATTTGACCTTGTCTTTTGGAGCTTACCTTAGAAATTTTCAGGTCAGCTCTTGTACCTCCTCATTTCTTCCATTTGCTTTAGTATCTCTATGCAGGAGAGCAAGTTTCAGTGTCTCATCTGACATCCATTTTGATCTTTTCTTACTTACTTGTCTTAATCACTTTTTGCTTTTCTTCCTGTATGATGTTCTTGATGTCATCCCACAACTCTTCTGGTCTTGGTCTTTAGTGTTTACTGTATCAAAGATTTACAGCCTCAGAAATCCTGTACAGGGTCGCTATGAGTTGCAACCAACTCCATGGCACAAAACCACCACCACCGCCACCATCATCATCTAAATGATACTTGCAAGTCAGCATCAAGGTTATATATTGCTTTTTTTTTGTTTTTAAGCTTATTGAATACCCAATACATTAACCAATATTTATAGCAAATCTATCAAAATTGTCTATCAAAAATTGTACTGGTGTTAAATGCCATCGAGTCTGTTCTGACACATAACGACCTGATGAATGACTGGTGAGCTCAAACCACTGACCTTGTAGTTCAAACTGACTTTTCAGTCCAGTGCATTAACCTGCAGTGCCAAACCATGACTACAAAAATCATATTAATCATGGACAATTTGCAAAGGGGTCTCAGAAGAATTGTAAGGATTTCCGAAACTAAAGGAATTCACAATTTATTAAATGAGGTCAAACCATGCCAGGAGAGGCAATAACAATCAAGTCAAGATAGATGATAGCTACACAACAAGGAATAGTACAAACTCTAAATGATTTAGAAATTCAAATCAGACGTGATTTAGAAAGACAAGGATAGGGAAGAAGTCATCAAGAAAATGAGACTTGAAAGATAAACAATATTTGGTAAAGGACAATTAGAAGAATTTTATAGAACAAGGAAATATAAATCAAGATGTGGAAATAGAAATAATCCAATCCCCACCCCACCCCCTTAAAGAGAAAAAGTAAGTCTGAAAAATCCTGAGCATGTGTTTTTCAAAATAATAGAAAAAAATAATTGGTAGGAAAGAGAGAAACCCAGACTATAAGGATTCCTTAAAGAATTATAAACA